AGCTAAGATTACAGATGTGAGCCACCCACACCGAGCTACGTTTGACATCTTTTGAATATAAACCCTGAGTCTTCCCTCAGTTGATTCAAGATTCTCATGACAACATTGAGATAAGGTCCATAATCCTTAGCTCTTTCCATCTTGCTTCTGGTATGAGAACTCCAAGAGAAACATTTATTTGGTGGACTGTTGGATATTTTTAGCTGTCTTCTTTATTCTGTAACAAAGTAGTAACCTGCTGGATTCTAGAAATACTGAACCAATGAGCATAAGGTCAAAGGGTCCTCTTCCTGCAGTGTGGTGAATTCTGGTGACTGCAGTGAAAGTCACTTTATCCTGGGCTTTCCATGTCCTCCTCCCTGCAGGACTGAAATACATGCTCCTCAACTGCTTGGAGTAGTGAAGTTTTGTCAAGGACAAGGATGTTACAGGAAACAACTGAGATTGAGTCCATGCTTCTTTCCTGTGGGCAAATTACTCCAAACAATGTTGCCATGGTGACAAAATGGAAGCATCACTTGACCTCCTGCAAGCCACACAAAGTAACAGGTCAGAGTTCTTTCCTGGGGTATCTGAGGCTTTAGCTGTGACCACATCAGAGTTTTGTGGCACCCTATGCACAGCTCTGTTTAAATCATCCCAAGATGCTGGTCCTCAAATCATCCCTAGTAAACCAAGACTCTCATGTGTGCCTCTGGGATAAAAAATATAACAGAGGGTATATTATTATTATAAATATAGAGGAGATATTTATAAACATTATGCACCTTGGGGGCCTGAATTTCACACTTAGCAGCTCTGGTACATTACCACTATGATGATTTCAGCCTAGACTGGCAGTGTTCCAATCCCAGTAATAGTTCACTGCATTACTGATATAAAAGGAGGAGGACGCAGCTGGAATAAATTTTCTCAAGACCAAGTGGAGCTTTGAGGCAGTGTGTCTCACAGAGGATGTGGATCCATCCCATTCAATCACCAGTTTTACTTCTTTTAGGTAAGACACATGTCTCTGTCCCTGTCTCTTTCTCTATCTCACTCCATCCCTGTCTATTTTGCTCCATCCCTCTCTATCTCTCTCTGTCTCCCCCACCCCACGCTCGGTTTGCAGATAGGAACTGTTGTACTATTGGAGTTAGAAATTCAGCCCCTTTTGTTTTCTTTATTTTTTAGATTAGGTCTCATTCATTTTGCCCTGGAGCCTTCTTCACAGCACCATCTGCCAGGAGATCTCTTAATAACTGATCATTTGCTTGTAAACTTTGAACTCGAGTTAGTCATTTGGAAAATCTTTTTGACTCCACATCTTAGTGTTTGAAGCAAACAGTATTCTAGTTAATGTTGTCATTAGCCTAATTCAAATGAGAACTTATCAGTTCTGCCAAAGAAATGATTTGTATGTTACTGTGATACAATATGCAGGATAATATTGATTTCCATCCCAGTAGTCTATGTAAGTTTATCAAAATTTTAAAATTGTATCGTGGTAATTATTTTGGAAAAATATGGAAGGAGATTATTCAATGATTTTTTGTGTGGGAAAGGCTTTATTTGTGCCCTGGATTTCAAGTACAAAATATGAGCTCTAAAGTAAAGATACTAAATTAATCAATAATTCTAATAAATAGTTATGGAAGCAAGCAAAAGAAATAGTAACTACCAAGTTCCAACTTTCTGAACACATAGAGAAAGGAAATCCTTTTCAGACGGAATGTTTCTAAACAAACACTACTATTTTCTAAATAGCACTACTATTTTCCTACAGAAAGCAGTACTTTTTTGCTCAAATGGCCAACTTCATGGGCCCATTTTCAGGAATTAATGCCATAAATCTGTCTTGTTTCCACTTTGAATGGCTTCTTTATACGTTGCTTGGATCAGTTACACTTCAATTGGAGTTAAAATTTCTCATTTTTAAAATAGGAATACACACATTTTAACAAACTAACATTAACTAAACAAGAAACATCAAGCCTCACATAGAGCACTTCCTTTTTATTTTTTATTTTTCTGGTTGTGAGGCTTAAACTCTAGGCCTGGGCGCTGTCCTTCAGCATTTCAGCTCAAGGCTAGCACTCTATCACTTGAGCCACAGGGCCACTTCTGGTTTTCTGAGTGGTTTATTGTAGATAAAGAGTCTCATGGACTTTCCTGCCCAGGCTAGTGTTTAACCATGATCCTCAGATCTCAGGCTCTTAGTAGTTAGCATTATGGGCATGAGCCACCAGTGCCCAACTAGTTTTTATGCTTTTTAAGTGACACATTTAAATAATCTTTGCATAAAATTGTCTACATCCTATTATGTATTGACTAGTCATTAGACTAAAACCTGATTTCACTTTAAAAACATAAAACTGCAATCATTGAAAAGTTAGAAATGATGTCAAATGCCAACAGAATTATGCACAAATACACAGAATATATTATACATAGTTGATAGATGTTAATTAGAAAAAATAAATTATAATTCATGATAAGGAATCAATAAAACTACCAGATATTATATCAGTGAGGTAGCAGTCACAAATATAAAACCATTGTACTATGTGTGTATTATGTAAGCTTCCCTGAATTATCAACTGGATAAAGAAGGCAAATAATAGAGCATTTAAATAAGCTGGGAGTGGAGAGACTAGATATTTGTCTTATGAGTAGCAATTTCATATTAGGGAAAGATCAAAATATATAGAAATGTATAATGGTGATCATTGAGCCACTATACATATGTGTGTATATATTTATTTGTTCATATATATACTTATATATTCAAATACATGATTATTTATCTGTAGGTAGATTTGCATATTTATATTTACATATATGTGTTTTATGTGTGTGTGTGTGTGTGTGTGTGCGTGCTAGGGATGTAGCTCAGTAGTATGTCATGTATTACATATGTAACATGTGTCAGGTCTTGGGATTCATTTCAAGACAAGCAAAATAAAAGGTAACATGGCAGCAAAAATAGATTTTTTTTTAAATTTCCAAGTATACTTTCTACAAATTTGAGTTTGATAACATTCAGTGATTGTAAGGCAGGGAAAATCAAGTCCCTTAAATGAGAGATGTGTTGAAAGTGTTTCATAACGTTGGCAATAAGATGTGAGTGAGATCCAGAGTGAGGGTTTTATGTGACTCCCGGTATTGGGAGGGCTCCCTGGAGCTGTGAGACTATGAGGAACACAATTCTAGGAAAGAAAGGTGACATTTGCAAGGGAGATGCATTTTCAACACACTTAATTTTTAAACAACCAAATACAACGGAGGAGGCAACAATGCTTGATAAGAAATGTACTCATTATCTTGCCCATGTAATTGTAACCCCTCTGTATGGTATTTTCACAATAAAAAAAAGAAAATAATAAAACAAAAACAAACTATAACATATGACAGTTAGTTAGGGTAGGGCAGAGCCCTTTGCATCATGTTTTCACGGTAGAATTACATTTAGTCAAGGGGAATGAAAAAAGTGGAAAGGGAAATGCTTTAAAAAGAAATGAACTCTATCTCTATCTCTCATGGAGATGTATTGTGTTAGACAAGACTCTTGAGAAAAAATGAGTATCCTCGTCCAGATTCTTGGATTCAATAGATGATGTCAGGATTGGCACTTACAGATCAAAGTTAAAAATGGTTTTTAAATAGTTAAGTTCAGCTAGATATGGAGAAGAAATTCATATTCCCTGCTCTTGTATAGAGAATAGTATTTTTTAGCTACCCAATAACATGCATTTTTGAGAGTATAAAGAGAAACTGTCTACTATAGCAAAAAGCTATTAAATCATTTGACTTTGTAGTTTTATATATGGTAGGAAAATCTCCCAGAAAGTCAATATTACTCTGTTTAAACCTCTGTGAATTGAACTTCATGTACATCCAACAACCCCACATTTTTAATTTTTTAAATTTTACTTTCAAGATGATATAGCGAGGGGTTACAGTTACATAAGTAATTAGAACATTTCTTGTCGAATTTGTTACCCCATCGCTCATTTTTCTCCCTCTGTCCCCCCCACTCCACATTGTACAGATCATTTCCAACATATTGTCTTGCGAATGTCACTAATAACCCCAGATTTTAACTTATGCTTTCTATCTATGATCTATTTCATTTTTCTGTATCTGAGAATGTGTTTTTTTTGTTTGGAAAGTTCTTCCTGGATTTCATTTTGGAGAGAATTAATTGAAATGGGAATTTTTTTGCACATTTTGATACCAAGTCTATGTGAAGACATATCTTACTTATACATACACACTTAGCTTTATATTCATTATATTGATTATATATCAGTAATTCAAGTTCAAATAGATGAGCCATTTATTTCTAATCTGTTTTTATAAATTTAACCTATGTAAATTGCAAATTCTTAGCAATTTGGATCATTAAACTTCTTATATTCCTTAATTTAAAAACTCTATTTATATTTTGAAATATAATTCATAACCTTACAATTAAAAAAGTGAGGGAATGAATGGAGCGGAAGGGGTGTGTGAAAATATTAAAAGGGTAACATTGACCAAGAGGCACTGTATTCATATACTTCTGCATCTCTATTCTTATTTTTTGAATTTATTTCATTCTAAAGGTGCTGTACAGAGGTTACAATGATATCAGTAAGGTAATGAGTACATTTCTTGTAGCATTGTTACCCCTCCTTTTTCCCCCACTATCCCTTCCCTCCCCTACCCCCCCCTCCTCCCACAAGTTATAAGGTTCATTTCCAACATAGTGAAACTCCTTTCAAGACCTACCTAAGAAAAATAAAAAAGATATTGCAAAAATAATATAGATACTAAACTAATGACGTATTTATACTCTATGTATTTGTTATTCATATATATATATATACATATATATACGTGTGTGTGTGTGTGTGTGTGTGTGTGTGTGTGAAGCTTTCAGGCCCTGAAAGCAGATAAGGGATTTGGCATAGGTCTCATCATTTTTCTAAGGAATAGCTTTCTAGAAATCAATTGGTCAATCATATAAAGCCTCACTGATGTTGGAACCAGTCTCCTTTTCTCCATTTCCAGGATTCCTTCTGGTAGAAATCATGGACAATGGGAACACCACATCTGATTTCATTTTGCTGGGCCTGCTTAACCACACCAGAGCACACCAAGTCCTCTTTGGGATGATTCTAACTATCTCCTTCACCTCCCTAGCAGGCAATGCCCTCTTGATTCTTCTCATCCACCGGGACCACCGGCTCCACACACCCATGTACTTCCTCCTCAGCCAGCTCTCACTCATGGACCTGTTGCTCATTTCCACCATTGTGCCAAAAATGACAGCTGATTATCTGACTGGCAAAAAGTCCATCCCCTTCTTTGGGTGCGGTTTGCAGATCTTCTTCTACCTCACTCTGGGTGGTGGAGAGTGCTTCCTCCTGGCAGCCATGTCCTATGATCGCTATGTGGCTGTGTGCCACCCACTGAGATACTCTGTTCTCATGAGCTGGCCATTGTGTCTGAGAATGACTTTGGGGTCCTTGCTCTTGGGGGCAGCTGATGGCCTCATGCAGGCTGTGGCTACTCTGAGCTACCCATTCTGCGGTAGACGTGAGATAGATCATTTCTTCTGTGAGGCTCCCGCAGTACTGCGTTTGGCCTGTGTCAATACGTCTGTCTTTGGGTATCTCATGTACATCTGCTGTGTGTTGATGATTGTGATTCCCCTTTCCCTCATCCTGACTTCCTACGGTCTCATCCTTGCTGCTGTGCTCCGCATGCCTTCCAAAGACGCCCGCAAGAAGGCCTTTGCCACCTGCTCTTCACACGTGGCCGTGGTGGGCCTATTTTATGGAGCTACCATTTTCAATTACATGAGACCCAAGTCCTACAGGACAGCTGTTCATGACAAGGTTGTGTCAGTGTTCTACACTATCCTGACACCCATGTTGAACCCCCTCATCTACAGTCTGAGGAATAGTGAGGTCAAAGGTGCCCTGAAAAAGTACCTGGCCCCCAGTGCAGCCTTACCTCATTAATAAGAATGCACTGAAATTCACTTCTTTCATGATTGCACATTTATATGTGATTTTCTAGTGGACACTTACTGAGTAGTCCTCCTTTATCCATAGGAGAAATGTTTCAAAATTGCTAGTGGGTACCTGAAACCTCTGAATACCAGAACCTCAATATCCACCTGTGGCCAGGGCCTCTCCAGGTGGACATCACACAGCAAAACCAGAACAAATTGCTTTTACTTTTTTTCCTTTTCATGAGTACATTTCTTCTTACTGTACATTTTAGTAGTGTCTGCATACGTTTTTTTTTGCCTCTTAGTTCTTCTTCAGTTGAAAACTCCCATCTTTTTACCTTAAAAAGCACTTTACATTTATCTGAAGGACAAGAATCATTACTTTTGCACTTTATGTATGACCATGATTAAGTACATAAAGTTTGCTTGAATACAAGCATCATGAGACCTTCTTAACAGAATTAATATCTTCCATGTCTGGTAAATGACTGGCTAAATAAATGGGGGGCAGGGTATGTGATTTGAAGCTGTTGGAGAAATGTGTACATATCTGGTTTGATGAACCAGGATTTCCTGAACTTTTCACTGTGCTCCTACAAAAGCATGGCTTTCTTTAGTTTTCAACTTTACTATTTTGTCTGCAGTGGCCTTTATGTAACTGTAGCTATAGATTTTAAAACAAACAAAAAACAACAATAGATAAAAATCTGGCTAGTGTAGTTGGATGGACACATCTGCCTTTGTATGATTATGTTTTTTGTCTTCAACTTTTTTTCCATTTCATTTTAAAGTACAGAGATGATCCAGCATGCTGTGAATTTATTATCGAAGCACCATTTTATGATAAATTGTATTTTAATAGACATTGTAAATTTTGCTAAAAACTTAATCAAATATTTCTCTACCTGATCCCACAATGAAATTTTACTCAGAGTGAACTAACTAATCAACAATTGTAAGGGTATTTTCTTTTGCTTCAAATTGAGGTAGTCTTTTTTTTTCATTTTTTTGTTTTTATTTTCCAGACAGTTTCAACAAATACCTGTACTTGTAGCTTATACCTATTTTCAGAATATAATATCCAAATCTACCAAAAGGGCTCTGTGGTTCTTTCCAATGAAAATTTTCTTCACGATCACCATCATTAGTAGCTTTTAATTCCCATCCTATGCTTAGTACTACTGTAAACATTCCTATCAGTGGAAATAGCAGAAGTTAATTTCTTTTTCCTTTTTGTGCTTTAGCTTAAGCACTCAGCCAGATACACAGGCACTTTACCACTGGAGCTATGCTGAGCTTCTATTTGTTATAGTTATTTTTTTCAAATAGGGCTCATATTTATGCTTCACTCTATCGAGACTGTGATTTCTATTTATGCTTCCTTCATATCTGGAATAACAAATGTGTGTCTTAGACAGTTTTTGATTGGTTGAGATAGGATCTTGTGAACATTTTATCTGGAATGGCTGTGAATGTGAACCTCTGGATCGCCACCTCTCCACTGTCCAAGATTACAAATGTGAGTCACCATCATGCTCAACATGAAGTAGTTGTTGTTTATATATTTTTCTTTCTCAGAGATTAATGTTTGTAAAGAGTCCACTGCATATTTTATCCATCTGTACTTTCTTTTTTAAAATTGCAAGAGTATTTTATTGTCTCAAATATCGCCATCTGTTTAATCATTACTTGTTGATGTATAGCTAGACTACTTTTGGACTTAGTGTAAACTCCTTACAGATCAGGTTTACTTATAAAACTTTGAGTAGCTAAATAATGATCTGTACATCATATCATTTTGTAAAAGTGGCTGTTAGATTTTATATTTTCACTAATAATTCTAATAAAGTCCAGTTACTCCAAATATTATCAACCTTTTCCATTTTAATAATTCTCATGAGTGAAGTAGAAAGCAATTTTCCATTATGTTTGATGACGATTGCTGCTGAGTATTTTTATATGACATATTTTGTAACTATATATTTTTGTCTTAGAATACAGAAGAACAATGTCTGCATAGTTCTTTTGAAAATGGGTAGGAAGGGAGGGGTATAGATTATTAGAGAAGCAAATCTGATAAAATTGCAGAGTGTGTCTATAAATACATTTCAAAATAACCCAAACCCTCATAAATCTAATTGATGCTAATAAAAAAATTTAAAAATCAAAACAAAACACATTGTTCCTTCCATAGCAAACCAATTTGGTAGCTTACCTAAGGTAATGTATGACATTCAAATGAATAATTGGGTTTTGAAATAAGGCTATGCAACTATAAATTTTCTAACATGCTTGAATTCCATGCCAGAAGATTAACTCTGTGCCTTTATGTAATATTAATTCAATCTTTTCCATTTTATTTATTATATTAAGTGAAGTAAGCCAGGCCCAAAGAAAATATAGGTCCCATAGTTTTCCTTATTTTCAATAACTAGTATATGTCTGAGACAAGCAGAAATGGTCAGATAAGTTGATGTTAGGTGAAATGAACCCCAAGATAAGGATTCAAATGGTTTTTCTTTCTTGCTATTGTTTATAACATACTTATAAGATGATTTCTTTGTTGCTTTGTATGTCCCTCCCTTATGGTATAACCCCTGTTTTCACTGTATTTGATGTGGTACAATTTGGGGAGGGGAAGGAAAAAAACAAATTGTTTAAATAGGGATACAGGCGGACCTATTGCAACAATGAGATGTACAAGACATTATGTTGAAAAATGAACTTTACAGTGGGGGAGGGGGATGGGAAGGTGTGGGAAAGGGAAACAAAGGAGGAGGCAACAATGCTTGATAAGAAATGTACTCATTACCTTGCTCATGTAATTATAACCCCTCTGTACGGTATTTTCACAATTAATAATAATAATAAGTTACTTGTTTGATTTAAGTGCACATTATAACACACCACTGTAATTCTCTTTGAGTAATACTTACATTATAAATATGAAATTTTCCAGAAATTAATTTTATTCTAAGCAATTAAATATCAGATGAAGAATACAAAAAGGATCTCCAAACTGAAATTTAAGGGTTCAGAGTTTGTCTCCTATCTTTAGCTGGTAAATTAACAGCCTAGAATAGTTTAAGGTAACAAATCAGGCACATGTGAAGGGAATTCATTCTATAAGTCAATTAATCATAAATATTACATAAATAATGTTATTCTAAAACTATATAAGCATGTGTTTATGACCCTTAAGCCTAAAGAAATTTCATATAAAATACAACCTTTTGGAGATTTACTTCAGGATATTTAGAGATTGAATTTTTATTCTTTTACTTTTGCTAATTTTGTTTCACTGAATCCATCTTTTCAGCACCTTTTCTTAACTAACACTTGCTGCATTTCACAGGCACAACAGGCAGAAAAAGCTACAGAAGATAGTGGCAGGAATCTCTAAGCACACCCAGTTCTGCAGGCTTCAGTGACTTTGAAAAGGCATCACGAGATGGTATAAGTTTTGTGAACGAAACTGACCTACATCTCAGCATCATGTTTCTATTCAAATGAATCTAGCTTACTTTTTTTTTTTTTGGTCTTGAACTCTGGGCCTGGTCGCTGTTCCTGAGCTTTTCAGCTCAAGGCGAGCAGTCTACCACTTGAGCCACAGCACCACTTCCAGTTGTCTAGTGATTTATTGGAGATAAAAGTCTCATGGACTTTCCTGCCCAGGCTGGCTTTGAACTGTGATCCTCAAATCTCAGCCTCCTGAGTAGCTAGGATTTCAGGTGTGAGCCACTGGTGCCCAGCTAGTTTACTTATTATTAACTCTGGTTCATTCACATGATCTCAGGTATATTCTGATCAAAGGGGAATTTCAGTAAATATTTTGTTTTCATAATTTCTTTATAACAGAACAAATATGTTGATAGAACTCTTACCAGGTATGCGAAAACAGTGTAACTCTCTAAAAAATAAAGAACAAATATTCCACTAATATTATAATTACTTTGTTTTTATTAAGTAAATATTATGATAAATTATTTTATTCCTTTGTAACTTCATTTTTTAAATTATTGGACTTCCACTTTATCTTATTTGTTTATTTATATTTGGTGATGGTCCTGAGATTTGAACCTAGGGTCTGAGCACTGCCTCTCAGCTGTTTTGCTCTAAGCTAGAGCTCCACTACTTGAGCCACAGCTCCACTTCTAGGTTTTTGGATGATTAATTGAAGATAAGAGTCTCATAGACTTTCCTTTTTAGTCTGGTTTGAAATTGCAGTCCTCACATTTCAGCCTCCTGCATAGCTAAGATTATTTACTGGAGTGACCCAGTGACACCCAACTTCATTTTTTTTCTCATAATTATTTCCATATGCTTACAAAATGGGCTATGTTATTTGATATAAACAAACAATAGACACAAGCTTATTTTGCAACATTCAGAGTCTTTTTCATCCAGATTATAGACTAGATATTTAAAAGTGTTCATTTGGAAATTGCCAAAGTGTCTTTATAACCCACATTAGCATGCATCTTTACAAAATAGATCTATTCCAAAACAGATTTATCCTTCCCTCCTAAAAAAGAAAATGTTAACAAATGAAGTTTCTGAGCCAGTGAGGAAACTGGGTATATATACGTTAGAGATAAACTGGTCATATAGTCTAATCCCTGTGGGTCCCCCGGTGCATCTTGAAAATAAAATAATAAGTACAAAATGCTAATACATGGCTGATGGTTAAAACTGGGTGCTGGTAGCTCAACTCAGGAGGATGAGATCTGTGGAACATGGTTTGAAGCCAGCCCAGGCAACAAAGTCCATGAGACTCTTATCTCCAATATGCTACTCAGAAAAAAAAGGAGAAAAACAAAGGGGGGGTAACAATGCTCGACAAGAAATGTACTCTTTACCTTACGCATGGAACTGTAACAGCATGTAACAGCATGTAACTGTACAGCATCATTACAATAAAATAAAATTTTTAAAAATGGAACTGACCATGTGGCTCAAGTGGTAGAGCACTAGCTTTGAGCAAAAGAAGCTCAGGGACAGCACCCA